GTTTTCAGGGACTTTGTCCTCCTCAGTGGGACAGTTGGTGGAGGTGAAGGTCTCTGTTCACCGCTCCATGAACTGGTGTGAATCTTTAATAGATCTGGGATCAGTGCTGATGCCTCTGATGCTCCATGTAGAGCTACTCCATGTTCTCCTTTCCTTATCAGGAAGCAGCTATTTTTAGCCCGGCTGGTCAGAACCGACCCGCTTTAAGCCGGACTCTGAACCCAGGTCCAGAGTTCTGGACTGTGGGGGAACAGCTGAACACAAGTCTGATAAGAAACCTAGAGGCTACAGGTCAGGGGTCAAAGGTCAGGACCCTGAACAACCTGGACCCAACTGCTGGAGGCCATGAGGGACACAACCAACCCAGAACAGAGAAGCTGTCCAGCATGGCGGTGGAGGACTGATGGTCTGGGCTAGGTTAGAAGAAATTGAAACTGCTGGTGTAGATTCCCAGTCATGAAGGTCATAATCATCCAAAAAAAGTAAAAAACAAAAACAATCCACTAGCTTCAGATCTTCTCAGACCTGGAGAAGACCTCTGGGCTCCATCAGGAGGCTGAGGGGCTGAAACACTCTGATGGTCCTCCCTGATCAGAGTGTGGAGTTTAAACCAGCGGCTTCTTCTTCTTCTGCAGATAAAAACTTTGAGGATGAAGACTCAGTGGATGGAGGCAGGTCCTCCTCCTCCTCGTCCTCCAAGGCGCCTCCTGGTGGGCGGAGGCCGGCAGTGAGCTCGGTGAGGAGACCCAGCTCTGGTTCATCCACCAAGTCCACAGGTGAGGCTTGTTGCAGGGTGAAGGTCGGGCGGAGCAGCAGGAAGCTGAGCTTCATCTTTAATCATCTCCTCTGTGCAGGTAAAGAAGCCGCAGCTGGAGCTGTGGACGAAGAGGACTTCATCAAAGCGTTTGACGACGTGCCGTCGGTCCAGGTAGGTGGGCGGGTCATGCATGTGAAGGAACGTTCAGGTGGGCGGGGTCATGCATGCGAAGGAACGTTCAGGTGGGCGGGGTCATTCATGCGAAGGAACGTTCAGGTGGGCGGGGTCATGCATGCGAAGGAACGTTCAGGTGGGCGGGGTCATGCATGCGAAGGAACGTTCAGGTGGGCGGGGTCATGCATGCGAAGGAACGTTCAGGTGGG